TGTAAATTAAACTTTAGAGCATAATAAGGTAGACTCTGTTCCGTTTCTTTAAATTTACCGGTGAATCCAATTTCCTCGTCCAGAATTTGGTACCGACCTTTTCACGAGCGAGACGTCGCATTGAAAATTGGTGGTTTTTGAACGGAAAGTGGGACCCTCGTTTTGGGAATTGCGTCGTGTGAAAGAGGCATGAGGGCTTTCTATTCATGCCGAACCTTAAGGTATCAAAATACGCAAATCAGGCAGGTATCCCTGAGATCGTACGGCTCACAGCCGGTCGGACGAGCGATAATCGTCGGATGTATCGCGCGCTTTCAAGGCCCCGTGGTTAAGGTTCTCTCTTCCTCCTACATCCTTCTACATGACTACAAATAGACTGTAATGATGGGCAGATAGATAGATACGTGCATGTCCACGATATAGACTTTCAAGATGCGGTTTCGAGTGCATCGGACTTGTGTATCATGCGAAAAAGTGTGCCATTACGTAGAAAATGTAAATGAGCGGCGGATTACTGCGGCTAGAGAAAGTGAAAAGAATTCAGTCGATCGATCGATCAATCGTTGACTCCTGGACGCATCATTAGAAATAGAATATACGCGCTTGACTTAGGAAATTTATTGAATAATAGGTATGTTCTGTTTAACTGAACTAGGTGCGTATTTTGCTGTTAGAAACAGCACTTGTCCAAAAATTAAATATCTATTCGTTGGGTACTAATAATATATTTACTTATTGTTGTAAATAATATATTTACGTATATATTGTAGTAATATATACGTATTTTTGTGCTGAAAAAGAATTATATTTCAAACGAGAAAAATTACATTTTCTTAAATATGTAGCTTTTCACGAAAACAATTGTTTCTTTCATTTCAATGAAAGAATTTAGATTTAGATGTAAATATGTTATTAACAGTCACTGAATACATGTTTTAAAATCTTTCAAACATTTCTTCTCGCTGTATATATAATTTAATGTTGAAGAAAAAAAAACAAAGTGCCAGTGCAACACTAATTCAGTTAAACAATAAAAAAACAGTCCTAATATCGATGCCAGGAAAAAAATCGTCATATTCGATGTTACGGTGAGAACGACAAGATCGTATCCGCCCCAAAACTTTCACCATTGACTTTGAATTCTTCACAGTCGCTGAGTGAAATCTATCAGTCAAAATGACCCCGGTATCCTTCGGTACGGCGCGCGACTGTAACAGAATGAATCTCTCTTTTTCTCGAGGATCTCTAATTTTAGTGAAGTAACCCGGAACCAAAGGAAACGCCTGATTTCGCGTAGACATCACACACGAGACTAAATCGCGCGAATCTCCGATCGAATTTCTCACTGTTGAATTGGTAGACTCCCCGAGATCTCTACGCCTCGATCTAGAAGAGATCTAGAACTGCGATCTCCCGCGCGATACGAAGTCTGTTCCTTTCAGCTGGGCGCTGCATTGTACTCTCCGATCTCGAAACGAAATAGACGATGCACGTTTAAAATTCAGCACGCTAGAGAAACGGAAAGAGAGAAAAAGGGAGAAAGAGAGCGGGAGAGAAAATCGCGATGAAATTAAAAAGAGAACGCTGCAGAAAGGAATAGCCTTGTTGCAATAATGTAATAATACAACTTGCAAATGTAACAGTAACATGTAACAACTGACCGAATTTTCCATATCGATGCTCAGACTAGAGGTCTGTTCTTTTTAGCTGAACTAGGCTGCATTTTATGCCGTTAGAGTGGAATAATTGAGTCTGATCGTTCTCGAAGGACTTCTGAACTAGCGCAACAAGTCACAATGAAACAAGTGTACTTTAACTTGCATTAATTCCGCAGTTCTTTCAAAACGAACAAACCTATATGTTCTGAATTTTCTTTTATTGCTAACAGTATTTCTAAAAGCGGCTTATGGTCAATCAGAAGGCAAGCAAACCACTTTTGGAAGCGCTTTTAGTGATAAAAAGAATTGAAAGGGTAGGCACAATGTAGGTAGTATTTAATTTAGCGTTGAAGAAAAAAGGAGCAAAGTCCAGTGCAGCTCTAGTTCAACTGAAAGAAAACACACAACATCAATTACAAATCTCTTCACATATGATCTTACTATATATTCACGTAATTTTTTTTTATATGAAATCGTGAAAGGTGAATAATTTCGCAGCACTTGGAGGCGACCATGAATCTTTTCACCGACGTAAACTCGTGAAAGGTGAACATTTTCATAAATATTTCCAAGATGGATCTTTCACTTTTCACGAGTTGACGTTAGAGGTGAAGATTCACGATCGACCCCCAGACCTCGAATTCTTACGAAGCGTGCACGGTACCATCCGGCCGTACGGCCCTGGATTTGGGCCCGAGCGGCGGTGGCTCTCGGCGCGGACACACACGCTCGTCCCGTCGTTCGGTTCGGTCGAGTCCGCCGCGGTACCTGTGTCGGATCGTGCGCGATCCACGCTCGCTCGGAGAGCGTACACTGTGCCATCGCGCCGTTGTTCGCGTTTCTCGAGTGTTCCCCGCGGGCCTGCGACGACGCCCGGGCCGCCCGCCGTGCTCCAGCCGTGGAGCCGCTGTGCCTCGTCGCGTGATGCAGCTGCGGGAAGCTGTGACACCGCGGTCGTCGTCGTCGTCGTCGTCATTCGTTGCAGCGTGCAGCGTCGTCGCTCGCTACGGCCAGGCCGATCTCGTGCGCGCGGCCTCGAGAGCCGAAGGTGGGCCTCCTTCTCGCCGCGCTCCTCTCGACAGACCCGTTTAAGGCACGGTGCGACACGACGCGGCAAGATCGATGCGCACGCGTCAGTGTTAGTGAGAAGAGCGTGATCGTGTGTTCTCGACGCGATCTTGGATCGATCGCGCGACATCCGCGTCCCCGAACTCGCCGTCTGTCTCTCTCTCTCTCTCTCTCTCTCTCTCTCTCTCTCTCTCTCTCTCTTTCTCTTCCTCCGTCGTCCATCTCGTTCCCCTTTTCGATTCTCTAGGTTCTTCCAGTGTCTCTTTACAGGTGTATATTCTGTGCCCTGCGGACCGCTGAGGTAAAGAGCGAGATTGATCGGCTAAGCCGACGAAAGGCGGCGGAATGAGAGGATCTCGACGACCTCGCGACCGTCCTCGCGGCAGAATGCTCCTTCGTGACGTTGTTTATCCGCCGGGCGACGCTCGGAATCATTCACTTGGCGCGGACTCCAGACCGCCTCTATGTCCGCCACGTTAAGAATCAAACGCCTCGCACCGCGATCGTTCTAATTTCGATCTCTCGAATTTAGTGCGCGCGAGCTCTTTGCGCACGTGACCTTCCTTTTCTAATCGTGCAAATTTTCCCGTCGCGGCTACGCCGTCTCCGCCAGTTGGCGGCGCGTCCGCGCGCGCCGTGCTGCGCGCGTGGCAGGAAGGTTAGGCAGTGGTAACGTGAACGCCTCTGCTGGCGTCGCGTTCGAATCACGTTGCACTTCCGGGAAGCTCTGGAATTCGATCCGATTGGCGCGAACACGCGGCCTATATATCGCAGCGCCGAGTACTGTTATTGAAATCGGGAGAGAAGCCGCGTCGCCGTGTAACGGTGCACGCGAGCGTAAGCGTGCGCGAATACACACGTTGTTTACGCACGAAAACGAGCGTGGGAAGCGAGATCACGCCCGGCGCGTACGAACGGTGCTTCCCAATCGCCTCGCTAACCGGCTCGCTATTTTAAACGCGCGATTCCGGCTCGCGCCGCTAAATCGACCGTTCGACGGCCATTTCTCCGGCGAAGTGAAATTGCCCGCTAATCCGCGCACGACACGAGACATTGCATGAATCAATCTACCGATCTTTCCCCGATAGAAACTGAATTCGCTAGCGCGCACCAGAACACGCTCTAAAAGCCGGTATCATAGGCCGTTCCTATATTTAAAGGAGCACAGACTTTTGCACAAAGCAATAATGCATAATGCGTAAGGGAATAAACTTAATCAGAACCGTTCTTTTTATCTGGAGGATAGAATAGAATTGTAGAAGAGGTTATTCTTTTATGCTATATGCGTTATGCTTTATGCAAAAGTCTGTACTCTCGCCCTAAGGCCCAAGTTCTTCGTCGCTGCCATCTTGATTTATAACGTCACAAGCGAGGAAATGCATATTATATTAAAAAAATGACACTTTGCAAAATACTCCGAACGCTTTCCTTTTGCTCTAACTATCAATAAATAACCATAAAATTAACATGACAAGATACTGAGAAAATGTAGATTTAAAAAATTGCATGTCACGGAAATTTATTATTTTACAGATGTGCCCAATCGATTACAAGTCATTTTATGGAGATATCTTTTCATTTCAACGTATTTCGCAAGAATTTTTATCATGTATTTTCTCGTCTTTGTTCAAGTTCATTTTACTATACAAATCGTTTCATTAGTTACGAAATATTTGCAGGTGAATTATGATACCAGTCTTATACTGCAATTCTAGACAAAATCGTAAAACTCGTAACTTATTTTCGTAAGACTCGTAAGAACTTATGAGTAAATCTGCAATTCTATGCGGACCGTATGTCATATGATAACTCGTAAATATCTATGATTTATTTTTATTTTTTTCGTAAGCTACGACTTTAAACTATGATTTTACGATTTATTCATATATTTGCTTAGAATTGCAGCATTAGTGTGCACTAGTGCGCATTAGTGCATTCAGTCGAATTCGTCATGATGTACATATATACGGATTTACGAAATGAAATTCGATATATCGTATCATACGATGATACCGCGAGAAATTTGAATGTTAAAGTCCCAAGTAGCAGAAGCTTCCGAAAGTCGTCTAAAAACTAGCACATCTTTTAGATGTCTTGGAGACGTCTTTAAGACGACTTTTAACAGTCTGCTGCCTGGAATGATAAGTGACATAAAAAATTATTAAAACATGCAATTTGATTGTTATTTCGCCGCGACAAATACTTGTGAATAGTGTTTTTTTTTTTTGTATTGGATCATCAAAACGACGAATATTAATTGCAAATTTTTTTCAGGATCACCTTGGCGAGTCGGCATAATGCCCGCACCGAAGATGTCAGTCATCGGTGATTCCATCAGGCTGGTTCCTGCTGGTAGTCCTGCTCTCTTCGAGCTGTCCGCATTAGGCTTCAGGAGCAGTGAGATTGACGTGCAAATTATAAGTGAGTGTCAGTTTAACCTCTAATTAATTTCAACCCAGGTAGCAGAAGCTTTTAAAAGACGTTTTAAAGACTCCTAGAGGATGTCTAAAAAAACGTCTGAAAAAGTAGAATATTTTCAGACATTTTTTAGATATTTTCAAGATACCTTTTACGAGTTTCTGCTACCTTAAGCAGGAACATTTTGGAAAGACAGAATAAGAGATTGATATTTACACGATAAATTGCAGCACCCTCGAAGAGACACATTCCCGCGAGGATCGATGAGGAGCCAGGACGATCCGGCGAATTTCGCGTCGAATTCACGCCGACTGAAGTGGGTAGTCACCTCGTGGAAGTCAGCATCGCGGGACAAAAGCTACCGGCAGGGCCGCTCGTCGCCAAGGTCTACAATAGCAGTTTGATCCAGGTTACTGACGTACCTAGCGCCGTGGTAGGTCATGCCTGTCAATTCAGAGGTGAGTCACGTCGTCCTACAATCCGTACTTTATCAGACTGATGCACGAAAGGTTTGCCGTGTTTGTCAAATCAAAATTATACAGTTTCGAGAAAGTAATCAAATGAATTCGCAAATTCAAAAATGAATCTTAATTATTTAAAATAAATAAGTTTTAATTTAAATAAGTTAAAATTTACAAATGAATTGAGCAATATCGATTCAATATAATTTTAGACATCTTACGAAAGCTTTCTATCTTCCCTTCAATTCTTAAACTTCTTATAAGAATTTAATAGAAAAGTGATGAATTTTTTGCACCAATTTAATACTTCTCGTGCTCATTAGTGCCTTAGTCTTAAGCCTGTAAATTTTTTGCAGTGGATGCCAGCGCTGCTGGGGAAGGCCAACTGGAGATCTCCATAAATGAAGGCGAGGTGCCCAATCACGTGCAAGTAGTGGGTGGCGGCCGTTGTCTCGTATCTTTCACGCCTGAAGTCGCGAAACCGCATTACATCGACATCAAGTTTAACGGAGAAGCGGTACGCGGATGTCCTTTCGTCTGCAACGTCTCGGACACGAGCAGAGTCACGTTAAGTTTGAATCATTTGGAGTTAATCCCCGTCGATCAGCCCGCCAGTTTTCACATGGGAGTTGACGGAAGCGGAAGCGCGGAGCTCGCGGTTTCCGTAAGGGGTGGGTTACATGTTTCATCTTCCGTTCGAATCTTGCAGAAGTTAAAGAATAAATTCTCTAGTGTAATCTATTCGGTCAATCTCGAAACGTTCAGTTTAATTTTAGAAGTTGACTTTATCGCATTCAACGGAAATAAATTATTCTTCAATTATTAACAGAAGTAAATTATTCTTCAATTATTATTCATAATCATCGTTGTTATCCATGATTAGCTTTTGTCAATGTTTTAGTAGCATGTTTATATCTTTAACAAGGAAGATCGTCGAAGAATTGAACTGAACTTTTTGACAGATCCAATATCTCGACTTTACAATAAGTTCAGGCTGTTATCACTAGTAATGTCTCTTAGTGGTACAAATCTTCTAAATTAATATCCTCTTAGGACCGAACAATGAACTGCCGGTTAAAGTAACCGGTGACATAAGCAGCGGTTTCACCGCGGAGTTTATACCAAGGGACGTAGGCGTGCACTCAATTAGTGTGGAATATAACGGCTACCCCGTGAACGGCACGCCGTTCTTAGCCAAGGCTTTTAACGCGGACAAAGTGCTAATTGGGCCAGTAGCCAGAGGCAGTGTCGGCCAACCAACCCACTTCACTGGTATGTAACAGCATCAGGAACTAAGTACACAAAAGACTAAAAAAAGCAATGAATACCTTCAACGTTTCGTATCGACCCCGAAAATTTGTTTAACGTATCTTGTCGCCCACAGTCGACGCGAGTCAAGCTGGCGAAGGAAACCTGGAGATCACAATCTCTGCTCGTGGCCAAAATATACCAACGCAAGTGACTCCGCAGGGGAACGCACGGTTCTCCGTCAGCTTTGTACCATTCGAGGCGTGCGAGCACGTGATCAACATCGCCTTCAACAAGAAGACTGTGCCGGGCTACCCCATAGTGACGCGTGTAGGTGGTGATAGCCACGTAACTGTGAGTGGGCAGGCGTTAAGCAGCGCTGGATTAGGACGGCAAAGCTATCTTACCGTCAGTAACGTTGCCGGTAGCTTGGAGGATTTAGAAGTTAATGTTGAAGGTATGCATCGATCCATCGATTATAGTGTTATCCGCAAACACACACGAGTTACTCAACAGAGTAACCCCCTTTGTCATCCGACGGCACCTACGTTTGTTCTTCCTGTGAATCTGATTCCCACACATGTCAATATTCCCGTCTACTTGCCGCGGTCATTTTGATTTATGACTCCAGAAACGAGAAAATGCATGCCTAAAATTCTTATAAATTTGCAAGTGTTATTTTTTTGATATCTTTTTATTTCGACGTATTTGTAGGAATTTTGAGCATCTTTGCTTCTGACGTCATCAATTAAGAGTCCCGCAGTGAGTAGCCTTAAGTTACCCTCGGCGATATATTATCCGAACGATAAGGATCCTCCCGATCAATACCGTCGACGCTTTTTTCTTACCGTATCCCCGAGAGGAACGTTCATGTATAATGCACGCACTCACACACAAACACCGTATACAATATGTCACCGACAAAATGCACGAAAGCATCTCAGTGTGTTTATTCACTATGTATTTAATACCAGAGGGATCTTTTCTGTTCTGTCCTTAACGTCACGAATAAGTGTCGCATCACGTTGTACGTAATTGTTGTGGACACTTGTACAGAACCGTTTATCTTGTTGTTCACGCACCGTGTCCACGTTAATCTACAGCTTGAGAGCAATTTTCTCTCTGTCTGTTGCAGGTCGGCCAGCTTTCAGACTACGACATTACTAGACTTCTCAAAAAAACACACAAAAAAGAAATAAGAAAAATACTAATCTCGCTCTTATCTATTATTATACGGACTATAACGAAACACGCGGTGGTGGTGGGTTCCTAATTCAATCTGCTGAAGATTTTTCGCGTAAGGGTAGTCTAATTAAACCGATCCTCTCTTTCTCCTACTTACACATTTCCCTTATACTTGTTAGTTACCACTTCGGGAGTATATTGCGAGTGCTTGACTTGGGTTTCCGTTTCTCATTCACTTTGGGAGAGCTGTGGAAGAAGCATCTAACACACCTCGCAATCGCATCTCCACATCCCTTGCGTGCTCGCGCGACTTGCGTTTGACATTTATATGTCAGAGCCATTTTTACGGTGCTATATGTTTACATTTAAGTGAATCGCGTAATCGTTTCCGACGCGACGAGATACATTCACGCCGCCGAAGCGAGATCCATTCGAATACGATGTGCCTTAATAAGTGTGCCAATGTTTCTTCCATTAGTAACTAGTACACGCATTCGCATCGTCGCGTTTAATTCCGCAAGCGAACGAAATAGTTTCTCTAGCTGATAACACTTTAGCATTGTCCTTTTTATTATGCCTGTGTTACGCAGCGGCATGTCGTACTTCACGATCGCGTTTGTACGTATTTTACTAACAAGCATGCTGCGAATGAATCACACGTAAAATAGTCTTAGTTAATTAGTATGCGTCCAACCCGTCGCGATGAGATACCACGACGTCCTTCCGCATTATAGTCACGTAACAATTTGACTTATCATAAGCATCCACGCGTAATCCGCTTGCTCTTAACGTCGCTTATTATGCGAGTTTTCCAAGTGCTGGCGTAACAATGTCGAAACGATTGGACGTATGCGAACTTCTTCTTCGCTGGCCTCCGATGTCCCTGTGACCCCACCCGAGTAGATGGCTGAACTAAATGATATATTAAACGACTAACCGCCGGACTTGATAGGACCCAATGGACAGGCCGTACCTGCTCAGGTCACTGACAACAAAGACACGACATGCAGCGTGGCCTTCACACCGAGAGTCGTCGGAGAACACCGTATATCGGTGAGCCATCGGAACATTCCGGTGGTCGGCAGCCCCTTCAGCTGTAAGGTGTATGACGTCACCGCGATTAAAGTGAAGGATGCCAAGCGAGGCGTCATCGGAATGCCCGTGACTTTCTTGGGTATGCTCTGTTGGATTTTCATATGCATTTATGCGTTCATGACGCGACTTCTCATAGTCAATAATTTCGCTTTCTAATTAAAACGTTTTTCTGCTTGCAGTCGAGACTAGTCAGGCGGGACCAGGAAACCTCGAGGTCACCGTGAACGGCGGACGAGTGCCAACATCGGCACAGGCTCAGGGTCCTCACACATACGCGATTTCTTTCACTCCGCGTGAGCCAATCGTGCACACCGTGGACTTGCGGTTCAACGGAGAGGATGTGCCTGGCAGTCCGTTCAGTTGTCAGGTACTTTGTAGCTTTTTCTTAGATAGCAGAGATTTCTAAAAGACTTCTTAAACACGTCGGAGAAACATCTGAAAAAATAGGAATTTTTCAAACGTTTTTTAGAAGTTCTTGCTACCTGCCTTCTAGTAAGTTTATACAAAAGGTTTGTCATCTTTCTATGAAATTTTCGTGGGAAGTTTGGATATTAAAATAGAAAATAACGAAAAATAGGAAGTTCTCCTTAAGTATCCCAAAAAAATGCTGAGTCGAGTTTATTTTTAAAAATTACTATGAATAAAATACTACTAAATAAAATACTAATCTTTTGATAACTTTTTTTTTATTTTATTTGACAAACACTACAAACTTCTTGCACTAACCTAATATATCACATATTCTTAATACTCCTCTAAAGTTTCGTTATTTAATGCATTTTGCTACCACAATTAATTTGGGGAATCCTCCCCACAGACTGTGTTACACATATAAGACGCTGATAATGTTAAAATCAAGATTGCTATAGTAACTTTTATACACATATAATGCAATTATTAAGACTCTCCTTCTATTTAGGTCAGCGATACCGCGAAAGTGCTGATAACCGAAGGACTCGAGAAAGTATCTGTGAATCGTGTCGCGACCTTCACAATAGAAGCCGACGCGTCTTTCGGGACACCGGTCGTCGAGGTGCTGTCTCCCACCAGAGAGAGTTTACCCGTACACATTAAGCAAAATAGTCACGGCACTTACACCGCTGGATTTACACCGAAAGACGTTGGTACGTACATGTGAGCATTAGCAAATGGGGGACATGATCGTAGAGAACCGTTTTACTAAATTTCGTCTTACTAAACATATGCGTGCTACAGGCGACCACAGCGTTGAAGTGAAACTCAGCGGCTCGCATGTGGAAGGTAGTCCATTCCTCGTCAAGGCTTATAATGCTGACAAAGTTAAAGTGACGGATATAAATAGTGGCGTCGTCGGGAAACCGGTGTTCTTCAGCAGTAAGATCATTTGCTTCACGCTCACGCGACGATGAGACCGACGTAATTAAATGTGAGGTATCCAACATTCTGTTTTTGTTACTTCAGTTAATGCCAGTCAAGCCGGAGCGGGAAACTTGGAGATCATAGTCGCAGTGAACGGCAAGAATGTCCCGAATTACGTGCAAAGCGAGGGCAACGCCAAGTTCAGGGTCAACTTTAAGCCGCAGGAAGCCGCCGTGCACAGCCTTAGCGTTCGTTTCAACGGAGAACCGGTTCCAGGTACAAAATATGATCGAATTCGGTCATGAGGTATCTTTAACATGCTCGATATTAACATCTCATCTGAATTTCCAGGTTCACCGTTCAGTTGCAAGGTGGTAGGCGCGGGTCAAGCGGTGATCTCCGGTCACAATCTAAAGATGAGCGCCGTGAAGCGACTGGTGTCCTTCACTGTGGATCCGCAAGCCCCATCCATGAATTGCGACGTTATTGCGATGCCACCGTCGGGTATCGCTCTGCCTATCACTATCGAGCCCATCGACGGCAAGTACAATGTGAGCTTCGTCCCTACAGAGGTCGGCAGACACAACGTCAGCGTCTTGATAGACGGAGAATCGATCAAGGGAGCTCCGTTCGCGTGTAATATTTACGACGTGACTAAGGCAAGTTCATTTTTTACGTCTTTTCAGATTATCGCAATCTTTGGGATCTTCAAAGAGCACGGACATACTGCTTGTGACAGATATGTAATGCTATTGTAACGATTGTAGGTTCACGTGTCGGGTCTTATGGAGGCGTTGCTGGGTCAGGCGACCACGTTCACCGTCGACGCCGCGGAAGCCGGCGAAGGAACCCTCGAGCTGGTAGTGAGCACAGAAAATAACACGGTTAAAGCCGAGGTCGTGGCCTGCGCACGCGGACTGTATGACGTTACGTTCGTGCCGCAAACGACGAGCACTCACTATGTTAACATCAGTTTCAACGACGATAATGTTCCAGGTTTGTGAATCTTATAGATTCTAAATATCAAAAAGAAGTTTAATTTTAAAGTTCTTGGAAGGTTTAATATCTCTTGGAAAAAGTTAAATTTCAAAATTTCTGGAAGATTTCATATTTAACTAATTCTTCCAGGGAGTCCGTTCAAATGTCCTGTCGTTAGTGGCATGTTACACGGTCCATCGATGGTTCGAGTTGGTAACACAGCTTACATCGATCTGGACATGTCCGACTTGAATGGTCCTGTAGCGGCGGAGGTTACCGGTAAAGTATTCGCTGGCACTCTGGAGATTATTATTTTAAATTCCAGTGTTATTTTCAATGTTAGTTCAGCAAGATTAAGTTTGTTCTGCTGATTATCATAACGTTTCGCTGCTTTCGCTTTTTCAGGCCCAGACGGAATAATCATCCCGTGCACGTTAACAAAATTATCATCCAGCTTGTACCGCGTGGAAGTTCGAACACGACAAGTAGGGACCTATAATATAATATTCAACGACGGACATAAGGTAGTCAGTTCACAAACACTTCAAGCCTTCGATCCCGGCAAAGTTTCCATCAAGGAAGTGGCAGATGTAGTGTGTCATCGACCCGGAACCATTTTAGGTAATTTTTTAATTGGATTTCACAATTACTAATTTTACTGGAATATTGGTACGCAAACGTGATATAAGCTGTTTGCAAATCAAAATATATGAATGACATCTCGATGTTTTCCTTACATAGTCGTCGCGTCGAAGGAAGCCGGTCCCGGCAAGTTGTCGGTCAATGTGCGCGCTGGCGGTGCGGACGTGGACAGTTTGGTGAGAGAGGGAGACAATGGTATCTACGAGATTGTGTTCCATCCTACGCGTGCCGCGCCTCACAGAGTTCACATAAAGTACAACGAGGTTCATATTCCAGGTATATCCAATAAATATCTATTGTGCTGTCTTAACGCGCTAAATCGTTAGGGATTCTTATGATGTAAGCATCATAATCGTCAGAATCTATCACAATCATAATCAATCTCAATAAATCCTGCTTCCAGGGAGTCCACTGGACGTGACAGTGCGTGGTCCTACCGGAGGACGAGAAGTGACGGCGACAGGATTGGGCTTGTATCAATCATGCGTCGGCAAAGTGACGTCGTTCACGATTGAGACCCTCGGACGCCCGGGCAAAGAGTTCGACGTCGTTATCAGCGGTCCGCAGGGTAACGCTGTGCCTGTACGTTGTTACCAGCATCGCGACGGCAATTTGCTCGCCGAGTTCACGACGAATTCTGTCGGTAAAGTTTAATAATAATAAGTTCACCCGCCTTCGTTGTATCCTACGCGCAAACCGTCTCGCATGAAAGATCTGAAACATTCAATTCCTCTCACACGCAGGTACGTACAAGATCGACGTGCTGCAAGGAGCCAAGCCCGTATTGGGCTCGCCGTTCTTCTGCCAGGCCTTCGACGCTGCCAAGGTGAAGCTTCAGGAGCTAGGTCCCATGACGATTTCAGTTCACGACCACATCGCCTTCAAACGTGAGTTTCCATAATAGTGAGATAGTTGTACTATAACTGCGAGTTTAAATGGTGAGTTTATACGTGAGATAATTGACGATAATGTCGCGTTGCATCGCGCGGCTGTTTCCGTGTGCGAACGGGGATTGTTTTCACGCGTAAAGAAAGAACCGGTATGACCTGGATCGACGAAGAGTACGATTGAAAAATCCAGTTATCTGGGTAAGAGAACTGTGTTAATCGGTGGGTAATCGTCTAATAGCGGTGCGCGAACGGTCGATGCGTAATACCGCATGCACCAAGCGTATACATGTGTCTCGCATTGCATCCCATACTTATGTAAATGTACAACACGTTCATATACGCCTCGCGTTCCTCGCATACGATCGGGAGAAAGTAGCGAGCATTTTCTAGTGCAACGCGCCAGTCTCAAGGCTGCACCTGGAATATAATTGCAGCAGATAGCACAAACATAACGCCACTTTCAAATAGCCTTGCTCATTCACGCGTCGCGCGACGTGAAGCAAAGTCGCGATACACATTGTGCGGTTCCGCGCTCGTAATTCTGTCTCAAAATCGCGCGAACGTCGATTATTGTCAGCGTCGGCGCGGAACCGGTAAGACGAATTATCGGTTTGTCGCTTTCTTCTTGCGTAATATTCGTTGTGTCGTGTTTTACAGTGATGAAAGCCGATGCCGGCATGGCCGACCTGGACGTGACGGCGACTAGCCCATCAGGCCAGGAGATCCCGTTGCAAGTGACTCCACTCAACGACGGCGCCGAGATGATAGAGTTCTCGCCCAGCGTGCCCGGCACTTACATGATCAACGTCACTTACGGTAATTGTCTTCAGTTAACTGTGTAAGAAATTCGTTTCCTTCATTTCTGTTCTTTATAATTGCGTGCTGGTCTTTCTTCTGACGATCAGGTGGGTGCTCTGTGCCTGGAAGTCCAGTGGTATGCACCGTCGACGCAGCAGGCCAGGCACGCGCGAAAGGCGAGGGTTTGCTGAGCGGTCACGTAGGTAAACCGGCGCATTTCATCGTCACCGGCACAAGGAGTCCACCGGCGGTTCAGGTATTTAAACATCACGACGTAATAGAAGTTGCCGAGTGCGTAGGACGTAGCGGATCGCTTTACTCGACTATTCTACGCGTGTCCGCAGGTAGACGGCCCGGACAGTGTTTCCAAGGCCACTATTGAAGCCGGTGCTAATCCGGGCACGTGGAACGTGTCGTATGTGCCGACCGAAGTTGGCGTGTTCGACATAAGAGTCGTCTCCGCTGGACAACAACTGCCGGGATCTCCTTGGCATCCGAAGATCATAGACACACGGAATCTTCGAGTTATCGGTGAGTTATTTCAAAATATACGTCTATATATTTTTTACTGAAGAAAAGTTAGAATTAAAATCGAAGTTGATAGGAAAATTTTAATGAAGGAAGATCTCTATAGAGATAATTTTTAGAGATCTCTATAGAGATAAAGATAATTTCTATGAAAAAATTAATAAAAGAAATTATAGAAAAATATCCCTTTATTAAATTATTCTTTTTAAATTATTTCCTTAAAGAAATATTTGGGAAATATTTTGAATTACAAATATTTTTATAGAAAAATATTTCTTTCATCAAATTCATCGAGTTTACAATGTACTCATCGAGATTTGATCGTAGGTGGGTGGTCCGCTGTGTGCGACGACATAGGTCGTTTGAAATTACATCCTTCGAACAAGATCAGTTTCGACACTGCAGAGGCCGGGCCCGGCGAAATCAGTGGGACTATCGGCGATCATCCGCTGGGCTTCGAGATGTCATCCAACAACAGGTTGAAGCTCGTTCCGCCACAAATCAGCGGCGGCGAACATCGACTAGAGATACTCTTCAACGGCACACCGTTTCCCGGCGCGCCGAAGCTCGCAGTCGTCCAGGATTTGGAGGTTTCTCGTGCATTTAATTCTTTATTATTTTGATATACTTACATACGTATTGTGCAACTGTACACTCTGTTTGTTCGTTTCTAGCCACCGGTGCAGGACACAAGTCGAGTGTTGCTGAAAGGACGAGGACTCACGTCGGCCAAGTGCGGCGAGGAAGTCAGTTTCACCATAGACGGCTCTCAAGCCGGCAACGGAACCCCGAAAGTCCAACTGTTCTCACCTACAAGCGAGCTCAATGTCATGTTACAACATCTAGGTAAGAAAGGAAAAATTCTAACAAATGTAAGTTCGTAGAAGATATACGAATCTAAAGGTACTTTTCTTGAACAAACAGGCGACAGCGTTTATCGCGCGAGCTACATACCGTTAACGCCGGACCCACTGCTGATGACCGTCTCGTGGAACGGAAGGCAGTTGAAAGGTTGTCCCCTGCAAATTAACGTTACGAGCGCGGCTGACGCGTCCAGAGTCGTCTGTTCCGGGGACGGACTGAAGCACGGGGTCGTCGGGCAAGAAATTCGGAGCTTCATCGATACTAGAAGAGCTGGACCAGGTGAGAAGATCTATTTCTTCATGCTGAAAGAAGCTCCGTCGTTTTGGATATCTCTTTCTACACTAGAGATTTTTTAATTTTAATATTTCATACATTTTAATCAGAGATATCTTATTATACAGGCGAGTTAACGGCACACTGCGTCGGGCCGCATAAGGTAGCATACTGCGAGCTGTACGATCATGGCGATGCTACTTTCACATTGAATGTGAAACCTCAAGAAGCGGGACGACATGCATTAACAATCAAATATGCCGGAGAACACGTCCCTGGATCTCCATTCACGCTGCGGGTCTCTGGTGCTCCGGATGCTTCAAAGGTATCAAATTGATTTCAATTATTGTTGGATTATGTAGTAAGTAATCTCGAACTTTCCAAATATAATGAGACGATCGCATTTTTATATCATTATAGATTTATGAATAATGTATGCAAAGAATAGCAGGAAATCATAATATTTACCAACAAAATGCGCAATTATTTATTATACAATTCAAAATATAATACAATATAAAACAATAAAAATTCTACTTTTAGTAGAAATTAGCATGTTCCAGTAAACGCCAAGTAACAGTAAAATTACTGTTATGAATGTTATAATTTCCCACACAACCATACAAGTGCGATATAACACATGTTAAATGTAACAGTTATGTGGCAGATTATATAATGAGAAATAATATAATATATATTATATTATTTACATAATATATATTATAATAAGAATTAATTATAATAAGAATTAATTATAAAATTATAATAAGAAATGGAGATATAATGTTACAGTTACATGTTTACTAAGATATTGTTGATAAGATCAATTAATTAAAGTCTTTTAGTATAATATGCGCAAAATATTACAGGTGCGCGTTTACGGTCCGGGAATCGAACACGGTGTGTTAGCAACCTTTCAGTCACGATTTATCTGTGACACACGAGGCGCTGGCGCCGGCCAACTCACGGTGAGGGTGCGAGGACCTAAAGGAGCGTTCAGGGTGGAGATGCAGAGGGAAACGCAGAAAGACCGAATCATTCTCTGTCGGTACGATCCGACGGAACCCGGCGATTATAGAGTGGAGGTTCGTTGGGCCGGCGTGCTCGTGCCGGGCTCTCCGTTTCCGGTTAAAATCGTCGACACGCAGGACGAATTATTAATGCTCACACAGGTGAGAATAACGTATTACGTAGTTTTACACGCAGTGTAAATTCGCACAAATATAAAAATTGACGGTTATAACGGATGAAACATAAAATTAACACGTTGATTGTCGACGGTCACACTAGTATTATGAATATTAATGTAATGTCATAAAATAATTTGTAATCGAAAGTGTATAATTGGCATTACGCAAGTGATATTAAAATAGAAATCGATTTATTTCGTTTCAGGGTGGAGATAATTATTCGACAGGCCATCATACTATCACATCGTGGCGTGGATCGCAAGCTATACTGTAGAGACGCCGAGTCTAACATTGTTATTATTTTGTATGGACTAATATATTCCATAATATATAATAATTATTGTAACTTATGTAAACATTTTCAATAAACACAACATTCGGCAGTTACTCCTTAGTTTCTTATTCTGAGAGATATATTTACATTTCTTAGAAATTGCTTATAATTATTTGGTTAACGTTTATGTACCTTTGATTATAACCTGATGAAACTAGTCTACGACTTACTCGATAAGACTTATCGGGGGAGACAAAGGAAAAGGAAGAGGACAATAGGGTCATTGAAGATATAGGTGTGATACTGCGAACGGTTCAAAAGGAACAAAAGATCCAAGACGGGGAGCTACAGGATCAAGAGGAGTCTGTGTTCTTCACAACAGAGAGCGCAATTGGCTAAAAGAGGCGAACAAGGCATTATTGCTGAATCTTTTCGTAACAGGTAAATGGAAGAAATCGGAGGATACCAAGGAGCTTCTGAAGCTGGATGACATAGAGATAATGACGATAATGAGGAGGATATATACGATTTCGAGGACTTCGATACCGGCAGAAGGCACGAAAGCGAAACTCGAAAAACGCCCGAGGACTTACCAGCAGACGAAATAGATGAGAAGAAGCTGCTGGAGAAAAGGGCAAACTGAAGGAGCAATTCGACGCATAGTACGACAATTCGCAGACAAAATCATACTACAACAAACTGAAAGCTGAGGTCAAAAGGCAGGCATCAAAAAGTCGAAGTTCGAAGATTTTGATGACCACATGAGAGTGCAACTGCGACCCTCCGCCCGTAGCTACGAGACACAGCGAAGCTTGATATACTAACACTTATGCATGACATATCCGTGTGTCGAATCGAAACGTGTCGTTGCTTCGGCTGTATATGTATATGTAGAGATGAACAACGAAGCGGCAACACACTTAGATTCAGCGTCGATTTGGCACACGGATGTCATGACATGTGTATCAAACCCTCGCTATGTTCGTAGCTATAGGCGGAGGGACGCAGCGAGTCACGATTCGCGTGTATTACGTTCGCGCGCCGGCCGAAGACATCTTTCTTTCGACTTGCGCTTCCTCTACTCTCATTAGCTGAGACAAAATAATTAATTTCTCAAAAGCTATTGCGAATATCGCAAAACGGCACGGACTTTCTTGCTCACCTCAATCCGTTCTACGTTCTCACAACATGGGTTATCATGGATGTCTGAGACACTCTGTATAAGTAAGTATATTAATATATCCACCGAATATTTTTTTATTTTTTTTATATTTCTCCCTCCAATATGTATACGAGTTGTTTTCCTGTAAAAATATATATTATTTTGAATAAAAATCGCTATCGACTTATGTCAATATTGTTGCATACTATATATATATTTATTATTTCAGCTTACATGCCAAGAAGGGACTTGATTTAAAAATTATTCCTCAACACCACATATTCATCCATATCTTATTTTACTTAAAATCTAATACATTCAACACATTCAAATTTAACTTATATCCTACTATTTTTACTTTTTACATTCTCAATTTCTCTTTTTTAATCCTCAATCTTCGCAATTATCACAGGCTCACTCCTACATCTAAATACCATATACTCTGTCTTTAAATTCTCCTTTATAAAATTCTAACTCTGCTTCCTATTCTGACTATTTTCTAACCTCTTATCATTATATTAAATTTTTGTTCTTCTTTGTTACTATCTGCTAACCATTTCGGTTAAAATCTTGGCTAAAGAAATTTAGAATAGTTTGTGTCTCAGTTATGCCGATTTTGTTAAAATATTAATTAAAATTTCCGAATTTCGAAACAAAGATGGGGAAAAGGAAGGAGAAGAGGAAAAAGACGATGAAGTAAACGTTTATATACTTTTTCAAATGCTTCATCGTTTCTTCTTCTTTTCTAGTTTACTCAGATCTCTAAATATTTCTTTCTTCACTTCTCTCTGTTTTTTCATCTTCTTAGCTTCCTCCGCCGCGACTCGCGCTTGGTAATCCGTGATTCTCTTCGTTGTCGCCTCCTTGAGCTGCTGCTGCTTGCGCGCATAATTCGTCCTAATCATTCTCATGAGACGTGCAACTTTCTGCTCACTGGGCTCCCGCACCACGGCGACTCTGCCTGGTCCGAATTTGGGATTGCGATTGGGTAACGATTTAGGTTTCGGCTTGTCTCTGTACGGCAATTCCTTCTGCAACTTTCGTGGGACGAATAGCGGCTTGAACACCTTGACTTCTCGTTGGATCGACGTGTACATGGAATCTCTGTTGGCTTCGGCGCGGATGTTATTTTCCCGCTTCAGTTGTCCGGTGGTCTTCATGCCTCGCCATTGATTCTTCTCCGCTAGTGGTAACAGCAGCGACGTCACCGGGTTGTAGAAGCGCGGCACGTCAACCTTGTACCACGTGCGGCAGAACACTATGTCACTCAACTGTATCTTGTCCTCGAACGTAGCGCGGAAGCAGCCCTCTGGGTTGGCCACTGCTTTTTTAATCTGGCCACGGATACCCGACACCGTCTTGATTTTGGCGCCCTCGAACTTAGCGACTTCCAGCGCACTGTTGAACATATCCTTGATGAACGCAGTCTTACGGTAGATCTTCAAAGGTACACCGGTAAGTTTAAGCTTCTTCGCCACATGCACACTTTTCTCCGTCTCTACAATCGAGCCGGTCACCGCAATGCGAAAGCCTGGCTCTCTGCTGGCGATGTCTTGTACTGCCAATATTCCGGTGCCCTGCGGCGTGATGGGACCCCACAGGTAGCTCATACAGGCCACATGTTCCGGAGTATACTTCAGCATCCTGTGGCGCAAATTGTCCTCCAGCTTTGAGTAAATCGGCAACGATTGGAACCGCCGCCAGCCCACCGAGAAAATAAGTGGATCGCGACTCTTGAGAATTCGCGAGTACCACCGGTGCTTTTTGACGCGCGCTTGCACGTAACCAATATTCTCTTCGCCGTGCAACAGACCGCCTAGGATAAGTGGATATGTTGGATCCAACTGCGTGATCAGCTCGCACGGCACTGTCTCGATCTCGACGCGCACATACATCCCGGGCCGGTAGCCCTCCAGCTGCACTCTCATGTTGTCGTCCAAGCCTTCGAACTCCGACTTGTTGATGGCTGCCTGCCTCTCGACCTCAGCTTTCAGTTCGTCGTAGTACGTCTTCGTCTCCGAATTATCGTACTCTGCGTTGAACTGCTCCTTCAGTTTCCTTTTTTTCTCCAGCAGCTTCTTTTTCTCATCTATTTCGTCTGCTGGTAAGTCTTTGGATGTCTTTTGAGTTCCGCTCTCGTGCTTTCGCCCGGTATCGAAGTCCTCGAAATCGCCGTACATCTCCTCGTTGTCGTCTAGATCGTCCAGTTTCAGAAGCTCCTCGGCATCCTCCGATTCCTTCCATTTACCTGTCACGAAAAGATTCAGCAGTAATGCCTTGTTTGCCTCTTCTAGCCAATTACGCGGACTCTCTGTTGTGAAGAACACAGACTCCTCTTGATCCTGTAGCTCCCGGTCCTGGATCTTTTTTTTTTGTTCCTTTTGAACCGTTCGCAGTATCATACCTATGTTTTCACCGATCTCGTTGTCCTCTTCCTCTTCCTTTGTCTCCCCCGATAAGTCATTCTTGTCAAGTGAATCGTAGACTAGTTTCATCAAGTTCTTATTACTTTGTTGACGATTTATGAATGCTTCTTTCGCTTTTTCAGCTAAGTTCATCTTCCATTTTAATTCGTCCACAACTTCTTCTTCCTCTTCTTCAAGATTTATATCATTACTTTCGTCTTCCACATTGACCGAAAGTTTCTTCTTTTTATTGTGTGTATCTTCTTCGTTTCTTTTTCTTTTGCTGTTTTTCTCATTAAATTGTATTATTTCCTCATCGCTCGATTCATCCTCGTCATCCTCGGCATTGTCATCGTTACCGTTATCGTTATCGTCATCATTATCGTCATCGTTATCGTCATCGTTATTGTCATCGTCATGATCTTCATCCGAATCGTTCTCAAATACTTCATCATTGAATATCACTTTCCGACGAACTCTGCCGTTCTCCGTCACCAATGTGCCGGTGTACGATGCCATGATGTCGTTTACGTCCTGTGACTTAATCGGCGCGGCGTCACTGAACAATTGCAGTTCACTGCGCTGCAGTTTCTGGTCCAGCGTTTCTTGCGTGTCCATTAAGGCACCAGCTAGACCCGTGTCCTCTTGTTTGTAGGAATGACTGCCGCCCAGCTCCACGTAAACGGCGTCCTTGTCATAGACTATTCCGCCGACGCCGGAAAACGGCGCATAGATCAGCCGTTCCTTCTCCACTAGAGCACGCTTCTTGATCTGCTCCGGAAGGGGACAAGGATCCGACAAGAAACTCACGTCTTTGATCTTCATGTCTCCGCAACCGGGTATGTGAACGGATGTTTCTTTATTCAAAGGTATTCCTCTGACATATCTGGAAGCAAATAACTCAAGTTAGTTACATATTTTATGAATATATAACGTAATAAATGGAATTTGAAATAATTATTATAAACGATGATATTCATTAATATGAATACATTAACATGAAAATTATACGGAGAATTTTTCGAGACTTAGAATTTTGCGAAGTATACACTTCTAAAAATTCTAAAAAGTAATCGTTTTGACTTAATCAATGTATATTAAATTATATATTAATATCAAAGTTTTGATCAAAATACATTAATTATAATTCTTCTATTATTCTAATCCAATTTAAACTTTCATATTGTTTCAATCGATATACGTCAATTAGAGAAAAAACATACAAAACATTTCCATTTTATCCCTTATACGTACCCATACAAACTGATTGTCCTGTCTGTCTTTGGATTCTGCCTAATTAATTCCGGCGACGTCAAGTCCTCCACTCTGTCAGCTAAAATATAAGGATGTGTGGTGCGCCAAGTCAAGGGTCTGAACTTCATGACCGATATGAAGCGCGCCAGATTTTTTATTTCCGTACGCAGGTACTCGTCATGCAGTAACCCCGAAAGATAGAAAAGCTTAGCGCCGGCGTACACCTCCGTCCAGAAACGATGTTTCAGTGCCTTCTTGGTTTTCCTCATTTGCTTGGCGTCCTTGATCAAGTCCAGATGAGTGAGCACTCCCATTATCCTAGGCATACCATGTACCTGACATATATTCAGGAACTCGAATATCTCCATCTCAAATCCAAAGGATGCATCCACCAGTAGCAACACCAGATCTGCCACCTTAGCGATGTCTATCATGCTGTTGATGTCGTTGTTACACTCCATAAATGTTACTCTTCGCTTCTTGCCAGATACAACAGTGACTGGACCCGATATGTTGGTCAAAGGCTGCTTCACATAGCTCTTGATCAAACATTGGATAACCAAGGACTTTCCCACCTTTGGGGGACCTACCACAGCCACTAGGACTGGTGGTGGTTCCAAGGGTGTTCTGTCGATCAAAGGTATATGTTGTTTCTTGGTCTCAATATCCTGCTTGCGTCTGAATTTTCTTTCAGCCTTCACCACTGAGTTGAACGTAAATGCCTTTGGATTTCTCTGCTTATCCGTTAACTCTCCAATGCGTTGCTTCTTTATCTTCTTTTTCTCTGCTTTACGCCCTGCAGTACGTTCCCTGTGAGACTTGTGCTCCGCTCCCTTGTCCATTTCAGACATCTTGCTAGCTTAGATTTTTCTCCTTTGTGTCAACTGAAAAATTCACAGTAAATTTCTGTACATGTACAAGCTTAATACTCGACACCGATCGAGCATGTATGTAGAATTTTTGCAATCAAATTGTATCTATTTATATATCTTACAATATAAATGCTCACCAACTTGGGAATTATTAGATTTAAATTACTTCTTTTCGAAGTAGTAAACAAAAATTAATTAGCATCTGTGCTATATAATTTCAGTTACACGTGAGTTTACACGTGTTATCTTCTTCTGATTGACGACTAAGGTATCGTGCCATCAGCCTTCTCCGAGGATATTTATGATTATTTGGCCACTATCCTTTTCTTCCAATATATTTTTTCTTAATCCTTTCAAATCTCTATTTACAAATATATATATATATATATATATTTTTTTTTTGGAAATAATTCCAAAATATTTTCTAAAAAAATCACTGACCGTGTCTGAATACTTATACACGCTACGATATCTAAACCGAAAGTATAGAATTTACACGTGTTAAAATTTTAGGTTATGGTTACCACACGTGAAGTTCCACTCTCGCCAGAGAAAAGAATGAAAGCGGCCGTGGCTGCCTTCCTTCCTTCAATATATGGCTCCAAGCACGTCTGCCCCATCTACGAATGCATAGCTACATTTAGAGCGTGATGGAAAAGTTGACTGATTGCGGCGCCTCTATGTCTATTTTTCATGAACCTTGAACTACTAAACCAATGTCCACGATTCTTGGTTCTGTTCCGTGCTATGTCCATGATTGCTTGGTTCTGTTCTGTACTATGTACACGTAATGTAATATTTTGTGTTATATAATATTAGCATAAATATGTTGAAATTTATATTGTAAATTTATATTGTGAACAGTCGTTAATAACATTAGACTAGAATAACATTAGATTAGAACGTTACAACAGAAATTTGAATTTTCAATATTTTTATTTTAAATTTAAAGCTGCAGATAGCATAGCAAATTTTTAATATTCACAAAAAAAATTGAACATCGATATATTGGACCTCAAAAATAATCAACTTTTCGACAAAAAATTGGACATATCGATTAATCGGTGAATATCACGCATTCCTACTTATCGCAAAGCTAAATTATTTCTCATCAGTCTCTTCTTTCACGCGCTGCGTTCTGTGTAATGTAGCTAAAGAAAGTTAGAATGGTTTGTATCTCAGCTATGCCGATTTTATTAAAATTTTAATTAAAATTGGTAAATTTCAGTTTTGTCGAAACCATTTTTGTCCAATTTACAAGGATTCAAACTATTTTGCTTCGTATCGTAGCTAAAGAAATTTAGAAAGGTTTGTGTCTTAGTTATGACGATTTTATTAAAATTGCTGAATTTCGGTTTTGCTTAAGATTACATCTACATGAATTGTTTAATTTACTTAAATAATAAGTTAAATTTACTTAAATTAATGTATAATTTACTTAATATTTACATGATGTTTTTCGCATGTAGACAATGTAGATAATGTAAATTACACAGTCAATTGTAAAGCGGGGTTTACAGTGCGAATTTAAGCTTTCTTAAGAAATGGACCAAACACATTCGAAATGGACCAATTCGAATGGACCAATCACATTCGAATAGAGAATGAGTGCGTTCAGCGAACTCAATAGTTGCACAACAGTTGAGCAATGTAATTGGTCTAGATTTAGGGATCTAACAGTAAGAACCAATAATCGCTGATTGCTCACTGAGCGCTTTTTCCGCTGAATGCGTCCAATATTTAATATACTATAGGCTCATACTATACACCGCGCGTCGAACGTTCATTCAAATAATTTATTCGATTTTTATTTCGATCTTTTTTCCAAAAAACGTTCTATAATATTCTGCAGACGTTTCTCCTGATTACAAATGTTACAATTACAAGATGATTTTCTCTGTATTTTTATCAGGAGAAATATTTTTGCCTATCTCGCGGCTCTCTGCGAGAGGTCTGCACTATAACTTCTGCAGACTTTCAACATTGTTTTGCGGCCCGTGATAAGTTCGGTTCCTTGTAATCTCGACGAAGTCGTCCGTTCGTCTGTTCAGTCATTGCACCTGTTTTGCTCGCCACCAAATGCGGATCGTTCAAACGTAATTATATCGATCATTGTGCAACGGAGCGCACGGCACTCGGTCTGTATGTGCGTTTCATTAGTAGCAATACGCGTCGGGTTGGCTTTGGAGCGGTCACCGTTGAGTGAATGGAGATCGGCATAAACAAGCGAACGCTACTCGCAAGACCTACATATCTTTCTTCTGAACGAGCGACAGGGACCTTTAATGATCCGGACCCAGGAATCGCGAATTAGACTGCGAAATAAGGCCTCGAACTCGTAGAGGCCCCATGAAAATTACTTTCTGAAAAGAGCAAGAAGGAGAAGTCAATCGGCGACGAGAAACCTCAAAAAAGAAAAGTAAAATTCGCTTCCAATCCTTGCAAGATACTACACAGTGTGTCGAGATTTACCTTTTTCCATAAACATTTCCACCGATAATTGCATCCGCTTTTAAAAGAATTAAACGAGAAAATAAGAAAGTAGAATCGAGTTATACCTTTATAGGGTTTTATAGGATTTCATAGGGTTTTATACATTTATAGGGTTTCACAACCTCTTAGAACTTACAATACATTCGTCTCAGCCATAGACATAGTATATATAGACTTCGAATGCCCTATGTCGTCTAATAGAATGAAGCCAACATCTAGAAAAACAGCTAGAATAGAAGGGTTATAGTTTTTTTCCTATTTTGTCACTTTTTTGTTGCGTGTGCATCTATTTCTCGTTTCCATAATATTATAGAGCGCAACAGCACTCCGACTAGACTGGCAAGTAAAAGTCTTACTTAAATTTTATTACACACTTTGTCTGTACAGAAAGAGACAGAGAACACAGAGGGGCTGTACATATTGGCTTCACTTTTTTGGCCGTATGCGAAGTCCATGTATACTACGTCCATGGTCTCAGCCTGCTAAAGTTGAATACGTAAGAAAAAAATGAGTTAACAACAAGAGTTTATTAGCTAATAGCTAAATCAACGTAGAAACAATCGACAAAAGAGATAAGGAATTATACTGAGAGAAAAAATATCTAGAAAATAAAACTTTTATTCGGTGAATACTAATAACATATTTACTTACATTAATGCATATATTTCTACAATGAGAACAAAAAATTTTTTTTAAATGAGAAGATATACATTTTATTGAAACCATAGCTTTTCAAGAAAGTAATTGTTTATCATACTTAAATAAAAGAATTTAGATTTAAGTATGTTATTAGTATCCACCAAATAAATATATTTTTATTTTATTTTTTAAATATTTTTTCTTTCAGGGTGGCGATATAGGTATTGCACATGCTACAATTAATCAAGATCTTCAGCAAACAAGCTGAAGATTTAGCTCAAATAAATATGGCCTTAGAGGCCCAATAAATAAGTTAAAACATCAGTAACAAAAAATGCATAAATTACAAAATGTGCACACACGTACGTCCTTCTTACCGCACATACACGTAGGTTTCGTGCTACAGGGAGGAAAAGGACGCGTTCCTCTTCGCCATCGGTTGCTTGCGCGCGTCTTTCCTCTTTTTCAATGCAGCAAGGACTATTCGTTTTTTAATCCAACAAGGACTCTTGCGCTATCGCTCGCGCTCATTGAACCGCGCGACTGGATTTATGTAGATTATCAGATGCAATTTGTATCGGTGTGCGTGTTAAACGTCGTGCGGTTGTCCAGTCGCTGCCGGTTTCTCATTGTTTACGCAGCTAATGAGAAGGTAATCGCGAAATCCAAAACACAAACATTTTAGTTAATTCCCAGTGCGACTGCCCCGCTATCAGAGCACCTTTGTTATTTGCCAGATGCCGCACGCAACACTGTTGCACGCCATATTCATTGGATGACACTAAGTGCAGTCTACCGTGCTTAAACAGCAATTCCGGCCACCGCTGTGTGACAATAAAATTGGAGACACGTGACCAAACACGAAAAGCCTGTTCTTAGTTCTCTGCTTCGACAGGACCTCATCTACGCACCATATTATGTCGCAATTTGTTTACTCCTTATCGAGTGATAATAGCACGTGCGAGAATTCTCTTAAGTAGCCACTCATATCCGCTTGTGCCTTGCCCATAATTAGCTACATGGCTAGCAGGCCAGCTATAAACTCTGCATTGTCTATTTCATCTAGGCAAATCTTGTCATTGGGCGGAAAATAGTTAAGGGATATAATGTAACATTTTATAACATAAATTATAATATAACATTTTATAACACAATATAAAACTTTACTTCATTACACTAAGGGGAAGCTCTGGTTTAGATGGTCCAAAATAGAAAGTCTTTACGAATTTTTTTTGAAGAAATTAATAAAGATATCAGCGTAGGGTTTCGACCATATTATCATTGTGTTTGAAGTATAAAAAGAATTAACCTTTTAAATAATTTTTTAAATAATACGATTAATTTCGAGGTGCGAAACGTAAGTGGCGCTTTACGAAGACTCTACGACAGTAACGGTGGAGGTGGTGACGGTGGCGGTGGAAAACGTAACGCGAAAGGACTGGAGGAACACCATTCATAGAGCCCGCGTAATACACAATCACTGGATACCACAGCCATCGTCGGTATATCTACGTCACGGCAAAGTCCCGCCGAGCGGATCGTTCCATCGGCATCTTTCTTCATTATTTTTTTTTCTTCTTTTCCTTCTTTCTTCCTCTCGCGCCTGTGTACCTCGCGTCCTTAGAGAAACGAGTTTCTCGCGTCGATGCGATGTGTTCCAAGGGTAGCTACTTCGCGCATTCACGTTCTGGTTTTAATTCTATGGAGAGATATACGGGTTAGTTAAACGGTACGACACCGCACGATTAAGTCACACCTGCGCGATCGCCGATCGCTCGCGAGGGGGTCACTGCGCGCAAGGTCACAAGGTCACGGGAGTCTGTCCCTGCGAAGTTCGCGCGTCCGCGAACTTAAGAAAGCGGGATGCAATGGGGATGCCTTTTTGTCTGTAGGAATGGAGGAGACATCTCGTTTTACTTCGTCGACGCGCAACCGATCGATTTGTCGCAATGATTCACCGATTGTGTTCATTAAATTATGCTTAGTACAGTTGAGAAAATTCTTTTTATTGTCATGCATTTTCCAGTTTTCTATTTTTCTTTTGCGGGATGCAACGGGGATGCCTTTTTGTCTGTAGGAATGGAACAGACATCTCGTTTTACTTCGTCGACACGTAACCAATCGATTTGTCGCGATGATTCACCGATTGTGTTCATTAGATTATGCTTGACGTAGTTGAGAAAATTCTTTTTAACGTCATGCATTTTCCAGTTCTCTATTTTTCTCTTCTTCCCTCTCTCTTTCTCTCTCTTTTTCTGCCGACAGACGTCCACGATTCCGGTAGCTTCAACAAGTTAACACACAACGATGGCTATTACGAGTATTATGATGATCTGAGCCTCATAACAGCGCCTGTTTTTTCTCTGCGAGGTACTTCATTAGGAGACTTCCATATTTAGATTCTCCGCAGACGATCTCAGACATGATTGTCTATAAAACGGCACGTTGCGTCATGGACGAGTAAATGCGTCGGGATAAATGAAAGCATTGATTAAACGGATTACAATGTAAATTTTCCAGAATTTCAATTGGTAAGATATACATAACTCGATTTCTTCAATTTCATCGTATAAAATGTATAAAATGCAAACGTATAAATGCAAATGTATAAATGCAAACATATTCTATAAGGATGATTCAGAAAATTTAAAAAATAAAATAAACACTTAGCTATATGAGCCACAGCCGTTGTCTTGGCACAATAAACTATAGTTTGTCAATTTTTTATTTATATGTATGTATTTTTGGACAATTACACGTAAGCTGCTTTTCAAAATGCCATTTAAAACAATCGTGTTAACTCGAAATAATTCGATAAATCCGATCTTTACGCTGAAAAAATATGAAAACACGAAGAACCGCGAAATGAAATCTTCTTTGATTGTCAAGGAGTCGAATTAAATCCCGCCGCGGCGTAGAAGGTTAGCATTAATGACCGTTTACGTAAAATATTTCTTTTATCTATCACGTCAATTACTTCCTCCATCGTGATAATAGCACTAGTCGGAATCGATAAACTTCATTAACGAAATAAAATAAAAGGAACACGTTTCGAAAAGGCCGAATATCCAAACTTATCACGTTTTAATTTCTCATAATCGGATTTCGCGTAAACGTCTAAATTATCTGCACAGGTTCTTGTTAAAATTTCGTGGATAAAATTAATGAACTGTCTAAGATATGGAAGACGGATTTTCGATGCAACAAAAAAGTAATCTTTTATCACCAATATGTTGTCTATTACAATTATACTAGGGAACTTTTGCGCTGTTTTAAACTTAGCGTGTTATTTTAATATGCTAATTAATTATATTTATCATTCGGCAAAACCCACGAAATAGCCTGTGCCACTTAACTCGTAGTTAACACAGAGAATTGTTTTCATACGCCAGCGAAATGACGAGATAATTTGACAGTCAATATGTTAGCGTAATTTTCAACGACAAAATAAATCTCCCGTTTTCTTCCCGTTTCCAGGCTTTTACTTTTTCTTTCTCACCTGAAGCTTTCAAATATCATTGCTTCGACTCAAATTTCAAAAGCGAAGAGCGACTTCACGTGTTAAATAAGTCCAAAGGAAGAAACAGGTGTCCTCGCCATGCGAGTGATAATCGCGTCGCCAGAGTACGTGGCAACAAAGAACGACAATGTGACGATCCCGGAGCAGTCCGATCGCACCGAGCCTACAAGATGCCGATGTGGTGACAGAGAGATGACAGAGGAGACTAAATGAGTTAAAGAGACGAAGAGAAAGAGAGAAAGACAGACCGGTTGTGGATAGAGATTAGAGGGAAAAGCTATTGGTTGCAGCCACCAACGTATCTCGATGTCTAAACAAAAGAGGAGCGCATTCCTCAGGTGTTGTCGTGGTCGCGGCCGCGTTTTAAAGCTACTCACCGCCCGCCACCGCCATCACCATCGCCGCCACCGCCGCCGCAGCCTCCACCTGACCGAGAGCGCAGTGTTTGCTGCTACTCCTCGCCTCTCACGTGTCGGCGCGCATTAATGACATGCAATTTTGCAACGTATCTTTGCCGAGTCCTTGGGCCGGGAAACTATATAAACCGAGTGTTTATAATTGGCCAGGCTAGCCGTCAGGATTTTTAACCAGGCAGGATGTCGTTCTACGCGCTAGCCGTGCTCTGCGTTACCGCGCTCGCGCTCGTCGCGGCTCAGGATCTCGAGCTTCGTAAGTTCTCTTCTTCAGTCCGACGTTCATTACTCACCCTCCGAGAAAGACACGCTTTCCCGTAAGCGTCGTTCGCCACTTGGGTCCATTGTGTCCTCCATACGTGCCCTTGTCGCGATCGGCACCGTCTTCGAATCGCGAGCGAAACTCGCGAGACTCTTTACGGTTTCAGCTGATGTAATTAACATAGTTTACCGTTTCGGGAGAGCACTATTCAGTGTGATAGAACGTGTGTAATTGTTGATTCGGCGAACACGAGGTTTAACCCTTGAAAGGTAGCGCGTGAGTAACTTTTATTCATACTGACAGCCTTCAATTTAGAAAGATAGTGATAATTGACGGTACAATTATAAGGTAGGGATGAGAGTAATTTATACTTATTCAAGTAATATCTCACAAAAAAGCTTTAAAGCTAAGTATGAGTGAAGTTACGCTATATCTTCTTAGGATTAAGCTAAACGAGAGTGATCGTTTGTCTGATTCTTTCTGGTATGTCTCGCTCTCGAAAACAGACTGAAAATCGAGAAAACCGACGACTCCAAGATTTCAACTTTAAGCAAAATTTATGGCAACTATCTCAGCTTAATATCTTGCAGTGTACAGAAAACGAGAAACTGTGCGTTTGTTGACTTCTCCCGTGATTTGTTTTCGCGCGACATAGGATTTCTCGATGGCAATCATTTCGCGGCGAATTGATATATCCACATGACGTGCTGATGAAATGAAAAATGAAATTAATCGCGTGTTGCTGCGAGCGCGACTCCTGTTACTGGCTATCACGAAATTGACACACGCGTAACGTACACTCTTCTCGACACGCGTCTATTGACATATCACTAATCACATCGCGGAACACAACTTTCGCTCTTCCGCGCGCTTTATCCGCGAGTAACGACCGATAGCCGTGAGAAATGCAACTGACGGAGAAATTGCACGGTATCGCGACACGCAAATCGAATTAGAGAGCGAGGGCGACTGAAATGAAACCTCAACAAAATAATTTCGCGTATTACATCATTCATAGCGTGAAGTTATGTTTACGTTTACGCTCAAGTGACTAATAATTTCGAATGTAAGTCCCCGTATTCACGGTTGAGCGAGTAATAATTGCATAATTTTATGCACCTATTAGTCATACACTCGTAACACATACATATTTTTCTTCTTATTTATTCATTCTTCTCATAATATCGATTGCCAGTCGCGTCGTAACGATAATATTACGAGAGAGAGCGCGCTCTTTGTTTGGCATGAAATGCGCACGTTCTACGAAAATCGATAGTCAGTGGACTCGATGATTAATTTTATTATCGGAGAAAGGAATAGTTTCCCTCGCGTTAACCGGTGAGTTCAATGCGCGCCGCACGAAATTCACCCAGCTAATTCGCGCGAGAAAGATCCTGTTGATCGGCAATTAAAAATATTTCCGATCGAATATTCGTTAGAAACGAATTAACAGTCGTAATTAATTATCTTCGAGGCCAACTACAAAAATCAATTATGCCGGAGTGCCCAGCACCAAAATCGATAGAATTGATTCTTTTATTCGGTACACCAATGATTATAATTAATTGTATTAATGATATTGTACTTATATATACTCTTTTTTATTTCTCCCTCACGCAGCCGTGCAGACCTGCAAGCACGATGCAGATGACTATTCGTCTTGCCTGAGACTCGCTATGCAAGAAGCATGGCCGACCTTCATCCCAGGTATCGTAGAGAGAACGGGGATATTTCACTACTACATACAGTGCCATTTAGAAATCAGCGTATTGTTTTAATATGCTAATTAATTGTACCGGTCATTCAGGAAAATTACAAAAGAAAGATCCTATGCGAATGTCATCATTATCACTACTTAAGAAGATGCTGAAGGTGAAAACTTTACCGATAGAATACTGACATTTTTCTGCAAAGTTCACGTCGCATTGGTCGTGCAAAACTACAAGTATTTTTGCACAATGAAAGTACATGCAAAAATAAACAGGAGCATTGCTTGATATGTAAGAAAAACGAAAAAAAAAATTTAATGTAAAATCTCAAGCTATCAGTTAGCGTAATATTTGCCTAATCCAAAAGTTTCGCAGCTTATATACGCGAAAAGTGTAGATATTTCAAACAGAAAAATTTTAAAGAACATTACTGTACCTTCGCATTTAAATTCAGAAACTTAAAAATATCGGAAAAGTTTGCAGAAAGATTTCTACACATGCGTGATTAGATCTTCCGCTGAATATGGCAAAACAAAGTAACACACATTTACGTAAGTTATATACAACAAATACGAAAAGGATAGCAACAATTGTCGCTATGATTGTGTTAGTGACAATCGTCTCTGCATTGTCGACATTATTCGAGTTCGCCATCGACTTCAGCATCCTCTTAACACAGTGACATTAAAAATCTACAGTGCCATTTAGAAATCATCTTAATATGCTAATTAATTACATTCAAAGGAAAACTACATTCAGAGGAAAACTCATCAAAAAGAAACCAATGAGAGTTGACTATGTAGTCGGCGTAAATGAAGTAGAGAATTCTTTTTGCATGCCGACTACGAGATGATTCGTATTTGACAGTCAACATGTCAAGTTTTCACTTGAATTTCTATTATTTCTGACGACGCCGACTTAGTTTTCACGTCCCGTCACTTGCGATTTGCACGAGCACACGTTGATTTACCGCAATCGCCCGAGTGCGCCGTACAAGTTGCCAGAGCTTGAGTTCTTTTCCGAAAGGTTTACCGCAATTCGATATCCCGCTGTTGGACCCGTATTTCTTGGAGCATCACCAAACTAAATACGATGCTAACGACATACGCGCCGACATCACGGTGACGAACGTCAACACCTATGGACTCGCGAAGACACGCTTCTTGGCGGTGAGGCCAACTTACGCCGATGACTTCTTCAAGTTGGAAGTCGACGTCGAAATGCCGAAGGTGCTCATTGAGGGTAACTACAAGGCGGATGGAATGATGGGAGCGTTCCAGATTGGCGGCGAAGGTATGTGTCGAATGGATTGATTAGCGAATCTGATGGTTGTACGACACGACAACTCAGTACAGGAGTAAATTTTATAGTAAAAATTATTGAATCTTGTAATTGAGGAACATAATTTCACATGTGCTATTTATATATTTTAGGAACTAAAGTGCACTAGGTTGTGTAATAAATAATTTCAGATTTTGCAGGTATAATGAAATTATTATATCTTGATGTCGTTATAATTTTATGAAACAATTTATAAGATGACAGAAATTCAAAATGGTGCACACATTGTTTCATGGCATTATAACGACATAAAAGCACAAACATTTCATTCTAAACATACGTTTCATTCCAAAAAACACGGAATTACTTATTGCACAACCCAGTACTGTTGAAAAATTGACAATTAAAAAACTTAAAAGATACTATTAAAAATTGAAAAATTAAATAAATTAAAAATATAAAAAAATTTACTATGTTTCTACCAAGACAAGCTCTACTTAAAATTTATTTATGCACTGCTAGAAAAAATGATAAAGTTGAGAATAATTTATATTAACCAAAACTATAATATTCTTTCTGTATATTCCTCTGATCAAGAAAATATGGCGATATTAATAGAGATATTAATAGATATTAATAGAGTTGCCGTATGCGTTTGTGTGTTCTGAGTTCAATGTATGTGAAACAAGCGTTACTTAGCCGGCTTGAAGTTAGCTAGTAGCCAAAATTCCTGGACAATTATTGATTAGAAAGAAAACGCTTTTTATACTTGGAACGTCTTCAAAATGTATTATGTCTGGAATTTTCTGAATATTTTGTCAATAATTATTTATAGATACATGAATTTTATATTTTACGGGAAAAATATTTATATACTTCGTGATTTCCACCAGGCTTCTTCAACATCAGTATGGAAGACATCAAAGGCACGTGGACCATAGAAGGATCGGTGGCGAACGATAAATGGACTGTCGAACATTTCACCTTGAACCCCGAAATTGGCAAAATGCAGATCTGGTTCAGTGACCTGTTCAACGGCAACGAAGGCCTCAGTGAGTAAACTTACAACAAATTTGCGATTATGAATACAATCAGATATTTAAAAACGCTTTTCCGCGAAGCGCGCTTTCGTTCACCTCGCGAATATGATTAATCCGGGTAGTCCTTCGGATAATTCTTACAATTTTTAAATTAAAACTTTTTTCACGTATGTGTCAAAAGGTAGATTGATAAAAAAAAAACATGAAACTTTCGCTGCATCACTATAGTGGTTTCTCAGATTGTAATTGCGGTTAACGCTCTCGTATCGATGAAATCAATGCGAAAAGCGTTTACGAGATGTCTAAAAACGTAAAACATCTAAAACCTGAAAACGTAAGAAGTCTTTTAGACGTCTTTAAGATGTCTTTAGGACACCATTTGGAAGCTTCTGTTAAAATCACCTGAGAAGGGGATTGATTTTACGAACCATATTTAATAACTCTCAAAAGAAAAAGAGAGCAGCAGAGACCTCGATATAACACGCCGCTAAACGCACATGTGTCTGGGTCGTAATTGCCGCTCGTCGTTCCCGCTAATTATCTCGTTATATCACATTAGCAATTTTGTGTCGATTATCCGGGAAACACGGATGCGCCGTAATCCTGTTTTACGTAAGCCTGATTCACAGACCCGCGCGCCCACCCACGCCTGAAACTAACGTGAATCTTTCGTGCTTTTCAGACCAAGCCGCGCTGAAGTTCGTGAATGAGTACTGGCCATCATTGTACCGGACGATACTGCCGTTCATGGCGCAGGATTGGGACACGTATCTCACCGAACTCGCCAACCGTATATTTTCCAAGGTCTCCTTCTCGAAGACGTTCCCCTGAAGTCCTCGAGGAGGGTCCCTCTTGCACTTTTGGAGCAAGTACGTAGTGGTAGTCGAAGTTCGATCGCGGACGAGATCTCGCCGAGAAGTAGGAATCGCGAGTTCTTTAGGAGAAACTGCACAAAGTACCGGCGCGAAGAAACACACGGAGCTGCCTCCTCCTTTCTTGTTCACGCGCCTGCGAAAATCCTGACGTGATAACCTCTTCATTCTCCCTTACTGTACCGTGATAGCGTTATTTTACCTGTATCCACACGACGTCGACATGCGTGTGAGTTAGTGCAATAGTTCACCGTCAAGTTTACCGTATGTGACTATGTAACGCGTAAACCTAGATTACCTCTGGTCAATCGTTACCGTCGCCGTGTTGTTGCTATTGTTGTAGCGAAGTTGTTTATGCGAGACACCGATGTAACGAAGTCTCCGAGTGAAATATAGAAAGTATCAAGTACACACGTCGATTTGTCGATTTCTTACGAATTCTCACGCTGACTCAATCGTACGCAATCCCCTGGAATCTGCGAACGTTGGAAGAAAGAACATGTTGATTAAAACATGTGAAGTAACACGTCTGAGGGACGTCTTGCTTTTTTGAAATTTGCGAAGAGAACAAAGCGATAACCTTTGAATTTGCGAAGAGAAAAAAAGAGATAATCCACTTCGCGGTTAATCACCAGCGAAAAAATGCCACGATCGGATCTATATGTCTCATTTACCTTTATTATACATATACCATTAATTACTATGCGTGTGTGCTGAAGCTATAATAACATGTTCTCCAGTTTAACGTGACGATCTACTCCTGTTTTACCACGATTCAAGCGACGATTGTCGTTTTGTCGGCTAGTAAGGGGATATCAATGAAAACGTCCCTCTTAATCTCCTCGCGCAATCATCCGAGCGTAATTATTCCAAATGGGCGATTGCCTCCGGCTAATGAACTGCAAAGAATTAACGTGTCCAACAAAAGAAAGTGAATGGCCGTAGATATTAGAATCTAATACTGTTACTGCACGGAGAGAATTTTATGGTAAAAATTGCTGTTGAATCTTGAAATTAACTATTAAGAAATTTGTTTTGTTTCTTTAAGTGAATTATGAGATGTGACATTTATATCTATATTCACACAATCAAAAAAACTCTCATTTCAAATTTATATCTGTAATCCCGATTCAACTGAAAAAATTCTCATCTAAGTCTGAATTTAAATCCAAGTAACTTATTTGAGACGAGTTCTAAGTAATAACTATTAAGAAAAATTAATAAGTTCCTGCGCTACTAGAGAAATACAGAAAGATTCAAAAGAATTTATACAAAAAAACAAAAAAACTATAATTTTCTCTTCGTGAGATCTCTTGCTTATTGTCTCTCCCCTCTCGTTAGACTTGATTAAATATCTAGCCTCATATTAATAGTTGTCACCTGAAACTTGTCTCATGTGAAGTATACTATGATTTTTCTTGGGAGTTAAATCCAAATTCTTTAATTGAATTATGAGATGTGACATTTATATCTGTATTTATACAATCGAAAAAACTCTCATCTAATTTCGAATTTATATCTGTAATCCGATTCAATTGAAAAAAAACTCTTGTCTAAGTCTAAATTTAAAAACTCTTGTCTAAGTCTGAATTTAAATCCGAGTAACTCACTTGAGAAGCAAGTTCTAAGTAATAACTGTTAATACGGGCCACAGAGAGCTTTCTATTCGGAATTCTGCAATTAACATTTCGCTTTCACGAAGACGAGCGATCACGAGAACAGCTGTAAGATTGCTTATCCGACCGTCTTGCCGAAGTAGCCAGAGCGAAGTCACAGTTCGCTATTTTAACCCGTTGACCGCTACGACAACATTTGTTCCCGATTGGTTTTAAAATCAACGTGTTTTCTTACTATGCTGATTAATTATATTTATTATTCATCAAAATTAACGATGCAAATTTATTCCTTAATCAGTTAACAAGTTAACTTGTATGAAACAGAGAGTTCTTTTTGCACGCCGGTCACGAGAGAACTTGTATTCGACAGTCAATTGGTTAAAATTGAGAAAGTAGCCTGAAGTACCCGAAGATTATTCTAATGTCGTATTATTCTAACGCCGCAACACACTCCCCACTTGTACATACACGTGTAAGATCGATCGTCGACTTTAACAAGACAAGTGTATAACGATCATTAAAACGAAAACATGATGTAGACGCATCTTAAGGTGTGAGGAACGTTTCAACTGGGACGTGTCGTAGCAGCTGGTTAACGATTCCGGCGAAGAGCGCCGACAGCTTCCTCTTCAGCTGCGGCTCCATCACTTTCAACACCTCCTGTCCGTTTTCTCGCAAGAAGAGGTTGGTCGCCTCGGCTATGGAAATCGGATCGGTTTGAAGAATAATACGACGATAAAGAATAAATGTCCGTTGTGTTAGCATCGATCAAAGGTAGATCTCGTGTGGATTAACATTAGGAACCCAATAGATAAGTTTTTCTTTTTCTTCTTTTTAACTCAGACTCGGCGTCAGGAACATTATTGCGTGATACTTACTGAGTATTCGATTGTTGTTAAAGATCTTGCGGACTCGCATTTGCACGTCTTTCACTCGCAGCTCGACGTCGAGGTTGTCAACATTCAGATACGACTTTCCGTCTCGCGATTTCGTTGACATTTTTCCTTTGACTAGAGCCCGAGCGTCGCCGAAACGCGCGTGGAACGTGCCATTTCCACTTGCAGGTAAAATTATCAACACTCCGGAGCTGTGCAAAACAAACTCAATTAATTTAACCGCGCGGATATTATATCATCAGCGACTTGAAGAAAACAAATTATACTTTAATCGTTTTTAAAATCAACAAAAGAGGCAAGTCACGTGTAAGAGTAAATACAATTATCTTTTTTATTCCGTGAGTGCAGACTATTGAAAAAATAAAGATAACATGTCAGCATCGAGGAAAAGAAAAAAAAGCATCAATTTGAGTAGACAAGAAGTATATGAATTAAAAAGCAAAAAATAAATGATATTGTCAATAATGACATCAATTCACGGAGAGAATTTTACAGTAAAAGTTATTGTAAAATTTTGTAATAAAGGAATAGAACGAGATTCTGCAATAATTTATTATTCTTTCATTTTATCACATGTACTATTTATATAATTTAAGAACTGAAATGTGCTATTAAAAATTTGCTATACTTCCAACGAAATTTACTATGTTCCTTAACAAGACGGTCCTTATTGACAGTTTATCTCTGCACTATTGGAAACATATAGAGAAATTGAAAAAAAATTAATAATATTATGTGTATATATTATTCCGTACACAGAGGGAAAAATTATCTTAAAATCAACAAATATTTTTTTGATGGGTGCCATTAACATATTTATTTAAATCTAAATTCTCTTTATTTAAATCAAATATTATTTACTTAAATCAGGTAAACAATATTTGATTTAAATAAAGAGAATTTAGATTTAAGTAAATATGTTAATGGCACCCATCAAAGAAATATTTGTTGATTTTAAGGTAATATTTCTCTCGGTGTATATTGTATTAATCGAAACGCGTGTTTCGGTCCTAAGATTAGTTTTGAGCCGTTAAATATCTTGATATTTCGTTTGATTAGCACACCCGGTCGCTTCTTCTTTCCTATTCTCATGGTAATTGCATTCGAATAAACACAAATGTACCTGGAATAATGCGCGTCCAATATAAGAGCTGGCATTCTTATGATAGCCTGAAAGGGTGAGCCGAGCTTGATGTCCTCGACCGAGTAGTTGCTCGCTCCCCTTATGAACAGGTCACGTAGCTGAACCTTATAACCGTTCACACCACCTGTCAGGGAGAGAGTTAGCTCGTCCATCTGTTGGAGCAAGCGACATGAATGCGTAACGACGTTCCCTCATCATCATCATCATCATTGCGTGGCATAATCTATCTCAACTATGATGACCCGCGAGAATTTCCTAGGGATTTTCTTTCTGTAACTTTCGCGCAGACTTTCTTTTGTTACTTTTTTGCAACTTGAAAGAAGTATTATACATTGCTCTCTTCTAACGTAAATGCACCTCGAACATCCAATTATTTTTCATGTGGGCTTGTCAGTGGCGCGTCTCAAACGTTCTACATTGATATTATTAATTTAATTTATTATTATGTTATTTAAATTATTATTATATTATATTATTTAAATTATCATTATATTATATTATTTAAATTATTATTATATTAATTTATCATAACTATGATTTTTTTCTTTTTCAAAGTTCTTCCAAAAAGCATCATTCTACTATTGAGAAAAGCGGTTTATTTTTTTTCTCTTAGGTAATGATTATCTCCAATAAATTTCAGAAAAGCATCACATATTCGAAAAAAGAATTTATTCTCCTTACAAAAATATTGTAAAACTTTATCGAAGAAAAGGTTGGTTTGACTTTTTGTTTAGCGTACAAAATAAATTTAATATTCATGCTTGAAATGCTAACCTAACCTAGGATTTGGAATGTATTTTAAATAAATTTGATGCTTATTACGAATTCATAATAGATTTGCATATGTGAACATATCAACTTATGAAATACTTGAAACAAGTAAAATCTATTTGAATGCAGCATGTATTTTTCTGTGAGCAGGTCGAACTTACGCGGAACGGTTCCACCGCGGGCAACTCGATTTCGGGTATCCCGGCGCTGAGATATGGTCGCAGATGGTGCAGAGCATCGATCAAACAAGTGACCAGTTTCGGATCGCTGCGGGAGCATTGCTTCACGTACTCGGCTGTAAATCGCAGAATGATACAAATGAACCTCTGCTTGTTACATTACCTCGATACGCGTCGGATTGGGCCCAGCGTCTATCTGACTTTGCGCGCGTTATAATTATAGACTACGCTAATCCCGTATCTTGCACCTCTTTTGTTCTTTATTATAAGGCGGGAGAAATTGTGGGTATTCTAGGTCGACCGAGTAAAAGTGTCGACCACTAAAAAGCGTCTCAAGCCGTTAGTCGTTAAAAGTGAAAGTGTTATCTCGCGATAAAATGCGCCTTTGAGCTGCGACGTATGTGTTGCAGAGAATTGGTGCATGGCTGCGGGAGGTCGCGCGCTTGTGCTGCGTGTTGCTTCTTTTTTTTCCGGCCGGGTTTTGCAAGAGATTTTGCAATTTGCAACGATCGTGCGAGCTCGCGATGAATAAATTATTGGGTGCAATTGGCGTGCAATGAAGAAACGGACGGAGACGCGCGTACATTCGCAGCTAACGCGATGTAATAATGGCAATTTTAATAACGTAAATTGACGACACTGTGCCTCGCGTCGATCTCATTCCGGGACTGAATAGGCGCGGAAAATTTACTGCAAACTTTGAACGTACTTGACTTCTGTTCTGAACGTCTTGACGTACTTGAACTGTTCTGAAGTCGTCACACTTATTTACAGGTTTTATTAATGCCTGGACATTTATTAGATGTAGAATTACTAAATATAGAATAATCATCAAAAAAATGATGCAGTAAAAATATATTTTATTAAAAACTTTATTATATTTCTCGATTCATACAATAATAAGAGATGATTGTCTCAATTTCTCGATAAATTAACTGATAGTTAAATTATGTCTGTCTTTTCCTAAATTGAAGAAGAAACAAAGACAGACATATGATTTAATTATTAGTTATCTTACCAAGAAGTTGGAACAACCAGCTCTAGATAAATCTTCCAAGAACCGTTATGAAAAAAGTAAGCGAATTTGAAGAATAAGCATATATCACTTTCCTGCGTAATAATGCGCAATGCATGATCAAACAAAAATTATTAACTTGTGCGAAATAAGCCTCAATCTGTCAAACTATCACAGCTGTTTTCGAAAATCGTTCTCGATTCCTCTGACACTCGACAGTAGACATGTTGAATGCATATGAAAAGACACGGCTAATTTAAGATGTTTAGTAATCCTAGAACTAGTAAATGTTTGAACCTTAAAAGTTGCGTGTACAAGCCGCGACACTGTTTTTTCTTTCTTTATAAGCTTTTCCTATAAAAATGATTGATCGTTCAGCACGTTTCTCCGACGTAATCGATATATTTTGGCACACCAGATTATTAATTAAAACAAACAACAGCTCTATCGTCTCGTCAGGCCCAGAGCGATCTCTCGGTGCGGCGCAGCAATAAAAACGCTAATTCCAAGCGGAAACTACGAAACTACGGAAACTACTCGCCTCGGATTTTACGAGCTGTCGAAAATAGTCTCGAGCGTGGAAGATGCTCCCGTGAAATTTTCAAAGAGCTTTGATCACGGTACTCACGGTTGGTGTCGGCGGAGAGAGTCGCCGTGCAGCCGACGAGAAGAAGGATAGCGCACAGCCGTGTAGTCTTCATTTTTCAGGACGAGGACGAATGCGCGAAAGTCTCGATTAGCGAGAGAGGACTCCCGCGAGATCCGATCTCGTGCGGTTCCAACGAGCTTCTCCGCGAGATCGCCGAGCGCGAACGTGGACCGGTGCTTCTGCCGCCACGAGGATCACCGGATACGAGACAGCGGGTTCTCGACTAAAGATTCGATTCGCCGCGGATCCCGTCGTAAACGGCACCGTTAGAGCAAGACTGACTATGCAAGAGGGCATTGACAGATGCCAGATCGTAGCTGCACTCGGATACTTTCACTGCTGCAGCATGCACCTGCGCGCCTTCGTCTTCGTCGTCCGCACAGGCAGACGAGTCTTGACCGAACTCGCCGCGGAGATGGCTAGACGAAAGTCGTCCCACCTGGAACTACCTGGGATAGTGTCTGTGCGCGTACGCGCACGTCAATTATGCTCCCGTGGGAAAATCGTTGCAGTCATGCCGGGGAAACCGAGGAGATCCTCGTGGCCGAACGATGCGCCGAGAGAGCGCGGTATCTTCGCGTTATTGCACCTGAGAATCGACTCCGTCGTCAATTGCGGATATCTGATGAGCGCTTTTTTAAAATAACATAAATAGCACACTGAGAGAAATTATAATTAACAAACGGATATTTTTGATCAAAATACCGATGAATTTTTTGTATCCGATCAGGAAACATCCGATGAGAAATGTCAGTTCATAATTTTTTCATAATTTTTTCGGTTTATCTGATGAAATGTTATTATAATCGGAAATATCCGATTAAATTGGATATCCTGATCGGATATAAAAAAGGCTTCAGAGGATATTAAAACAATATAAAAGAGGATTCAGTACAAAAGCAAACACGTAATTTTGGGGACACACCTCGAGTAATGTGAGAGGGAGAGAGGGTCTCGCCATATACGGATTTTTCTCTCGTTTTTTCGGTCTCGTCGTCCATGAAGTTGTCACGTCGAGGCGTCTCGTTACGAGGCTTTTAATCGTGCAGGTGATGCTGCGGCGCGACTTACATTCACTCAACCCTCGGGTGTTACGTAACGACGGCCTTTTTTGCTTTATCTTTTAACAGAAGAGTGGGAAGAGGTCGCGAAAATCACAAGCTGACTATACGCCGTTCCTCGAATGAACAGCTGGACACACGGATGACCTGCGCCGGGCCCACGGGACCGCAAAAGCAATAGGTGAGGCAAGACAATACACTCTTGCGCGCAATGTAAACAACAGGTGGCCACAGATGATAAAGCGCAACAGCGGACGCGACGCGACGTACGGTAAAACGTCCCCAGCGCGTGCAGTGATGTAATGAGTCGTTTGCATTCGACCACAGCAATTACGCCGGCAAATATTGCGTAATAGGATTTCGGTAAAAAAAAAGAAGGACACGCGCTGTGATCGACAGCGTGATATAGACATTTAAAAAGTCGAAATTTGTCCCTGACATAATTGTCAATTGTAAAAAATATAATTCTAATCTTCTTTTGCATGACCTCGTTTCAGCAGCAATTAAAATGAAATTAACTAATTAATTTGTTGTGTTGTTTGGATTTGAGGAGCCTTTTATTCGTCCGGAAAAATAGACTAATCAAGAACTTTTCCTAAATTCTAAACAACTATTATATTTTTAATATTCCTTTGCTTCCTTTCCAATAAATATGCCAAGTGTTACAAGTCGATATGTTTTATAGTTCTTCCAGAAAAATTTCTGATCATAGCCTATCTATTCGTCCAAAGATAAAAGACCCATTAGTGGTTATTTTTAATTTTTCAACGGAATCGTTAACACATTTTAACACTGGTGGTTAAAGCCGTTTAATATTTATTATCTAAACAAAGCATAACCAAGAAATACTCTCATAATTATGCTAAAATATGTTTTGGATTATTATACAAACAGTGTCATTTGACAAACAGAATTCGGTTCATACAACGCCACGCGGCGTAGACAAGTCACACAAAATTAACTCTTAGGCCCGGTTTCACCAACGTTATATTGGTTTTAAGTGACACTTAAATATATGTGTATCTTTATTTATATAGAAAGAAAGATAAAGATAGATATATGTTTAAGTTTCGCTTAAAGCCAAAATAATGTTGGTGCAACCAGACTTTAGTGGCTTATGTGAAAAACGGCACCACATGTAGCTCTACATGGGTCTTTCGATTCCGGCCCTTTTATCATATCTTTAAAGTAGTTCAAAAAATCTATAAAAATTCACGGATATACCTTCAAGTTTCTAGAACAAATATCTGTATTTCAAAAAACTAAAATATAGTATATCCGGAATCCTTCAACGTGCTGAGAAATTTCTATGAATAGAAACCGCCCGGACGCGAAATACTTATAGGGCCACTAAGGATTAATATAATATGAAATGTATTAGCGGCCACGTAGCGTACCTGTTTGGAAAAGAAGACTTTAGAATTATTCGCTTTGTCGATAATCGCAGGACAGTGCGATTCGCTGTCTTACCGATCGCGCTGCTTTTGGAAGCTGCGTAAATTGCAAGACGCGTTTCTATATTTTTACGAACTTCTTTTGCGATAAACGCTACACCCAGTCTGCGATTGTGATAATCGCGATACGCAGCAGTTTTACGCACGGCATACGACGTCATGATGAATAATGAATGCTTTAATATATTATTGATAACAAAGTCGGACTTTTCTTGCTTCTCGTTTTCTCCGTTCCTCTCTCATTTTTTACGAGACGAGAAACGCGACGACCCGTGAAACAAGAGTGTGCAATTGGTTGCTTATCCATAGGAGTTCGCTTACGTTCGCGGTAAGCTTGTGAAGAAGTGAAGTTACTTAGCAAACTTAATTGTATGTAATTAGATGTGTCGACGGTGATTATTATTGTTCATAAAATGATAGGCAACGCACGATAGCAGGGATAAATTCTCGTTTTTGAAATAAGTGCGATGAAACAGAGTGATTTATTCCCGTTGGCATAATCCGCATATAACTATCTTTCTCCTTGACGAGATATCATAAATAACATCATTTTCTTTAAGTATCCCTTCTATATAACTTCTGAACGAATATGATATTATTCTCGAATGAAATGCGCGACTCACATAGGAATCACTGAAAGACTCGTACGCTTACATACAGCACGTGTATCTGGCATCCGTGATCAAGTTATCCGAGAAGTAAAACGATGCTTTGAGACTGGTACCTGTACTGATCCCTTTTCTGTCGTTTTGTACCTCTCAAGGTCTCGTCTATACACTTTATATCGTTACCAGATACGCAAGTACAGGGAGAGAAGAACCTTGCAGGACGAGAACTCGAGTAATAACGAATCTTCCGTCGTCAAGTTAAGATCTTCTGCACCTTCGCTCCTATCGAATTTCTGGTAAGTAAATAGAAACAGCGTTCTGTACATCTTAAAAATTTTCCTATTTCATTAATATTCCGCCTGAATTATTCCAGCTAAATTTAAACAAATATCCGAAATTTAATTTAAGCATGAAGAGACAATTTGCTTCAATTGAGAAGGTCGAGATTTTAATAGGATCGTTTCCTAAAAGATGATAACTTGAACCTGAAAGATAACTTCTTATAAATGAATAGAAGACTTCGAGTTCGCACGTTCTATAGCTTATCTCGCAACTTTAGTTTTCGTTTCTGATTAAAAACTCATTAGAGATCATTAGCCTCCCGTCTTTTCATCTCGTAAAACCGGTTTACTTCCGCAATGACGGAGAATCTCGTTGAGATCCCCACCTGAAAAACATGCCTCCTTGAAGTTGTCCGCGAAATTACATAAACCTGGCCCAAGAATGCTCGAGTCAGAAGCGAATCGCTCACCCTTCTCTCAGATATATCGCAGAGAGTGAAAGCGCGAGGAACGCTCCTCTGCGCCCGCGTGTTTGCGTTTTGAGTGAACCGAGGTGTGTGTCGTTCACGGGTTATCTCAATTCAAGTACCACCGATAACACACCACCATCGCGTGCTTCAGATCCATCCAGCAGAGCGGAGCCACGGAGAAATGCGGCCGAGGGTTTTCGTGCTTGCGCTGACGCCGCCGTCGCTGTTGCTGCTGCTTTGCGCTTTGGCGGCCGCCAATTTCGGTGAGTAACGCGTCCGACCTGGCCATAATCGTACGCACGATGATAAACGCGGAAGCTGTCAAGGTCGGTTGATTCTCAAGTACGTCACCGATACAAAGAATCGAAATCTTTTTTATATTAACGCGCGACCGTACCCATAAGTGATCAAGTACTTCAAAGTGAAACACGTTTAAACGTCTGCAGACAAAACTTTCAATTTTCTATCAATGATATAATATGCTAATAAAATAATATAAGTACTTTTATATTATTACTATACTTACACTAACTTATATTATTATACTTACACAAACAGCATACATAGGTCCACATTTTGAACCATAAATAACCAGCTACTTCAAAATCAAAGTCAGTTTAGAATGAGACTCTAAGAAAATGCTGTTTATAATAACGTTAGATTAATGCAACAGTTTTGTCAAGTAAAATAGAAAACGAAATTATTCAATTTCAAAAAATCAATCATTTTTACGAATAAAACGACAATATCGACTCGATGTCTCCTTGGAGATCTAACAAGAATTTTCCATCTTTCTTTTAATACCCAAACTACCTATAAGAATTTTATGGAAAAATAAAACACGATTACCCCCTGATACACAGCTCGAGTAGAAACTGATAAGAATAAAGATCTTTAAGTACCTTAATAATAATTTGTGAATGCCCCTAACATTATTAGGACTCCAGTTGAACCGAAAGGCGTGCAAATAATGACTCTTTTTTTCGCTGACGAATTTCTCTTGAGTTTCTCTTCGAAACTCTCGCCGAAATTCTTACGGGTTATTACGTACCGCTCATGTCGCACCTTGCATATTCGCGAATATCTCTGAAATAGACGACGAAGAAATTGATCTGGATTAGAGACTCGCGGAAGTAACCTTGCATGTGCGCGTCATGCGAACTCTGCATAAAAATGAAGCGAGATTTGTACTGCCGATCAATCAATAGTTTTTTGAAACAGCGAGTAGAATTCATCGCAATTGAAAAGCGCGCCTTAGAAAGGTGGGCCAAAGTGCGGAGAATGCTCTAGGCACGCTGTATTACGCTCGCGTTATTACATAACGACGCTATTTTGTAATAGAAAAACGCGAGGCGAAATGTTGTTTCTCAAGGAACACGCACACGTGCATCGCCATATCAAAGCCAAGAACCTCGGAAGAGAAAGCCGCGTTGCGCGCGATCGCGTGCACACATTCAATGTTAATTGACGCGATAATTCATAAACAATAGCGTGCGCGCTCGCTAATTCAATTCCATCCCCGTGAGCATCCCGAGCGCTTCTTCCGCGCAACTCCTCACGTCTTCCTCCATTGTGAATGCGAACCGAATCGACGGCATTCCTTTTCCTCGATCCGTTACACCACGCATAAATAATGAAGGAGTGTGGTCAAATTTTGCGGCATTCAAAATCTCAAATTATTTCTTGGTAAAATTATAGCTAATTCGTGAAAAGCTTAAATATATATATATATATATATATATATATATATATATATATATATATATATATATATATATATATATATATATATATATATATATATA